CCTGCGCCGGGCATCGCTGCGCCCGCCGGACGGGTGGCGCCCGCAGCCCCGCTTGGCGGAGCGGCGCGGCGGGGCGCGCGCGGGTCTCCCTCGTCCTCTGGCGGGGCAGGTGGACGGAGAGCGGCGGGAAGGGGACGGGGACGGGGCAGCGGCGCGGGGCCCCCGCCCGGCGCGGCCGCGGCGAGACCTGCCTGCCTGCCTGCCTGCCTGCCTGCCGCCTCGGGCGCCCGCGTGCGGGAGGGCGCCGGGCGGGGATGCGGCTCGGGCGGGTCTCCCTGCGGAGCCGGCCCATTTCGCCTCGGCGCTGGCCCGTCGCGGGTCCCGGCCGCGGTCTGGCGCGGCCGGCCGCCCGTGCAGCGGCGAGCGCCCTGCTCCCGGGGAGGGCCGCTCCGGATCGCCTCGGGCTGCAAGAGCGTCCGCGCCGCGGGCGGGGGCGTGCGGGGCGAGGGAGAAATGCGGCGCCGGAGAGCGGCTCGGGCAGCGCGGGGCCGGGCTGGCGGCGCGCGGAGCGGGGAACCCCAACCCTTCCTTTCGCCCGGAGCGTCTGCTTCTGCGGGCGCGGAGGCGGCCGCGCTCGCCGCCGCTCCAGCCCTGCTTGTTCCATCGGGCTCGTTCAGGGAGGGGGCCCTGGCGGCGACCGCCGTGCTTTCGCTTCGCGCGGCCGGGAGCAGGCCCCCTCGCTTCCCGGGGCCGGTTCCGCAGGGCGCCCCTCCGCCGTCGCCCTCGGCGTTCGGGCTAAGCTGCGCGCTGCCCGCTCCTGGCGCGGCTCCACGGCTCGGCCTCGCGCGGCGGACTAGCGCGGGCAGCCGCGAGGGGACTCGGTCTCCGCGCCGGGTGCTGGTGCGCGAGTCCCGGCGAGACGGGCTGGCGGACGGGCTCGCGCTGCTAAGGCCCTCGGAGTTCCCGGGCCTGGTGGCACATCTGGGCCTGGAGCCGGAGCGCCGCGCCGGCCCGTGGATCCCGGGCGGGCTCGGGCGGACCTCACCGTGCTCGGAGAGGGGCGCGAGGCCCGGCAGCGGGTCCGCCCGGGTCAGAGCTGGCTCGCAGCCGGGCGTCCCGCGTGTGCCCTGCCTCTGGAGAGAAGGGTTCCGACGTGCTCGAGTGTTCCGGCACCTGCCGCACGGCGAGCCTGCCCGATGGGGCTGCCTCGCGGCGGCGGCGGCGGCGGCGGCGCGCGGCGCTGCGTGACTTCAGGCCGACTCGCAATGGCTGAGCTGCGTTCCGCGGCGCCGGTCCCCGGCGGGGACTGGGGCAGCCTCCGAAGCGCCGCGGCGGGGCGGCCGGGCCGGGGAGCTTCCCGGCTCCCGGGCAGGGCGCACTCGCCCGTGGGAATGGCGACAAGCGCCGGCTGACGCGCAGGATGCGCCCTCGCGTCCGATCATGACGGGGCAGAACCGCGAACGCGGCCCTGGCATGTCGACCGGCGCCCGCTCCGCTTCGGGGGCAAGAGAGCCCCGCGTCTCGCTGGTCCGTCGTCGCGAATGTGCTCGCAGGGCAGGAGGGGGCGGCGAGCGCGCCCCTTCCTTTTGGTTGTCAGGAGCGGCGGGCAGAGAGCTCAATGCCTGCGGTCTGCCGGACATCGGGGGCGGCCTACGAGGCGACCCCCGTGTCGTGACAGGGGGTCGTTTGGAAGCGCGTAAAAGCGCTGCGGACGTTGGCGGAACCGAGGAGGCTTCTAGCCGATCAACCCCAGCCTTGTCGGGCGGGGGCGGGGGCGGGCGGGCGGTCCGTCCGTCCGTCCTCAGATGCAGCGCGCTCTCTGCTCGCGCGTAAAAAGTTTCCGAGAGAGACAGGGAAAGGTCGCTGCCCCGCGGCGCTTCCAGTGGGCAGCCCGGGCTTGGAGGAGATCGCCTGGGGCGACGGGGTCGCGCGTGGGGGAAGCTGGCCGAGCTGCGAGCAGAGCTGGAAAATAGCGCCCGGTTCGGGGGGCACTATTGGTGCCCGTTTCTCCTTCTAAGCGCCCCCTCCCCGCAGGCACGGCGGGACTGCTTTCAAGAAACAGCCAGAAAAATGAGCGGTGCAGCTATTTCAGGACGGGGGAGCCTGGCTTATACGATTCGAGGAGCTTTTCAAAACAGGCTGCGGAACGTACGTGCGCGCGCGCTCGTCCTGTGCGATCGGGAGGTGCAAAGCGGGGCGCCCCGGCTTGGAACACGCGCATAATTAAACGTGGGGCTGCGCATCGCGGCGCCAGACGGGGCAAGGGGAGAGGCGCGTGGGGTGGGCGCTCCGGCGGTTGCCCGAGCTTCGGCTGGCGGGGCGCCACCCCCGCGTCCACCCCGGCTTCTCTTATTCCGGAGTAAATGAAGCCAGAGTTTCGAATTTCGTGGCAGTTGACAGGATGGCCGCTCCACCGGCTTAGACACCGTGCCCGGCAGTGCGTGCGTGTGGGGAAAGGCGAGGGGGGGCCGGGCAGGACGAGAAGTGGGGTAACTACCCCGCGTTGCTGTTGTGGTTCTGGATTCGCTTCCTCGGCGGGGCTTCGGGCAACAGGAAACTTTTAGAAAGGAGTCCCGGCGAGTGCTCCGGGAAAGGAAGTCTCAAGACAAGGGCCATTTTCTCTCTGCAGACTGACCTCCTTTCTGCCTGCGGAGAAAGGCGGGGGAGAAACACCCAGGATCCGGGTCTGGGCAAGGGGCTCCTTTGCCAAGGCCCGAGCCAAGGGGACTAAAACCTTGTCTCTCCAGAACCGAATCCTGGGTCCAAAACTGTGATTGCCAGCTTTGATGCCCGGCTCACAAAATGTAAAAATATTTAAATGACATGGAAGGTGGCGGCGGGGGCGGGGCGGGGGGGCCGGGAGAAGCCGTGTTTGTTTGCTCAAGGAAGGGCAAGACGGAGAAAGTCCAACCGAAGCCCGTTCCAAGAGTCGGGGCTGCGCCGGCGCGTTCGTCTTCCGTTCTTGAAAGAGCTGCTTGAAAAAGGAAAGAGAAAAAAGATCGAGGAGAGCTTGGAAGGGAGGGAGGGAAAATTCCCCGGGGGGGGGGCACCCCGGAAGCATTAAACTTGTCCTGGGACGAAGTCATTAGGGCGCACAGAAAGAGGTTAAGGCCTGGCCCCTCTTTTCTGCCTTTCCGCCGGATCTTGCCCCCTCCAGCCCCGTGTTTACATGTCTGAGGGTGCTCTGATGCGTCTTCTCCTCACCCCTCCCCGAATTGGGCGCGGGGAGGGGGGACTTTGTTATGAAAACTTAAACCACGCTGTCGTGGGTGGGTCGATATTGACCTCTGGTGGCTGCATGTGGAATGGCAGGCTGGGTTCCCCGCCCCCCCCCCCCCGCTTGACTCCTGTCTGTTCGCTGGAGAAATGA